TTCCCCACTTCCTGCTCACGCCGTCACGTGATATACGTGACATCATCACGTCTATTACGTTGCCATGGAGATCGGGACGCCATTGCGTCTAACAACGATCTCTTCAGTTACTTCCTGAATGGCTGCGTCGTCCGTAGTCATAGTAATACCGGACGCATGCGCATCTAGCTTAGAAATTCCGGTCTCTATATCTGTCCTCCACCAAGGAAGGAATTAGAGCTCCTTGGTACTGCAAAACATATATGTAATATTTAGATTATTTATATATTTAGCAGTACACTGATTGGTCCATTTTTGCTTCATTTTGGTTTGTCGGATTCATTTTCCCCAATATTTTTCCATTAACGAAATTCAACCAACCGGAACCGCCATATGATTCAAAATCCGTCCTTCCCAAAATTATTATTTTTTCAGCAGAAGTGAATAGGCGGAAGCTATTTTTTCTGCTGTGCTGTAAATGTTGTAAATGAGCCTTTTGTCTTCTTTGACAGTCCTTCTGCTTTTTTCTTTAAACTTCATGGCTCACTGAAGCGTCTGAAGCTATGGTTCTTCAGCATTCACGTTTTGGGACTTTTGCGCCTTTGAGCATGATTCTTCTGGACCTTACAACACACAAAACACGTTCCGAGCCATATCAGCCATTATCACAAACTCCAATCTGAGATGAAGTCATATGAAAGAGGTAAGTGCATGATAAATACTTTTTTGTCTATGCTCTTATTGCCAGAGACTGTCAACAAAAACCTTGTTACAGTAGCATGCCAAAATATTTACTTTGTTATTATTAATTACTTTTCATGACAATAAATATAGTGCTTTGAATACACCTTTAAATTGTGTCTTCTTCATCTTTATTGTCGGCATCACTATGAGGTCATTCTTGCCGAGGAAAGCCATTCCAATCTTATCTGACCGCATTGCTATAAGCAATAAAAGGCCTGCATCTAATCAGCAGTTTTTCTACAGAGTTACACTGTGAGATATCAATCCTCCCATCAACTTGTTGATCTCTGCGTGCAGAAACAAGGTTATAAAATTTATGAAGCTGTGGTATACTGGCAGAGAGGAAGCTGAGATGGATCACAAGTATAATTAACAGGAATAATGAAAATAGGAGAACTTTATAAAAACAAAACAATAAATTAAACTATGAATAATATAATACACATACAATCATGCCTGTGATTATTATGATTATCATAGCTAAAGGACAAAGGTAATATTATTACATAGTTACACATAGTTACATAGTTACATAGCTGAAAAGAGACTTGCGTCCATCAAGTTCAGCCTTCCTCACATTTGTTTTTTGCTGTTGATCCAAAAGAAGGCAAAAAAACCCAGTTTGAAGCAAAATTTTGCAACAAGCTAGGAAAAAAATTCCTTCTTGACCCCAGAATGGCAGTCAGATTTATCCTTGGATCAAGCAGTTATTACCCTACATTGAACACCAGAATTTTCCTACCGGTGCTCACTTATTATATATGCAATATGTGGGTTATTGTATATTAAATTACCCATCCTCCCCTCTATACTTAATAGTCTGTTTTTCATTGCACCCTCCTGGAACCTAACACGCATCAAATTAATAGGTTATTATTTTACTAAAGTGGGAATTGTTGGAAATTTAAAGAGAATTTTTCCATTTGTTTCAATTTGGCTGTTTTGACCTAAAATGTTAGATTTTAGATTTGCATTCAAGTTTACTTCCTGACAAATCACATGCGACTGATTAACTCTGCAAAGGTTGTCAGTTGTAAAGTAAAACGCTATGATAATATATAGTATTAACCAGAACAAAGAAGATTCGGGATATGGCTGTGTAAATCTACAGAGAAAACATAAAACAAAACATAGTGTGATATTGTTATAAAATACAATATTTCATGCGCAATAATCTTGTGCACTCACAGGATGTAGACAATAAGAGCGCTCTTAGGGTGCCTTCCCCAATGAAATGGGGGGCTAGCTGGTATTCCTTATCACCTCTGGATCCTTGTTCCACCAAAAGACATCCACAGGTCAGGGTTCAGTAATAAAAAATTTATTTAGATAAAAAGTGTAGTCACCATTTCAGCATATTTATATCCTATGCTGAAATGGTGACTACACTTTTTATCTAAATACATTTTTTATTACTGAACCCTGACCTGTGGATGTCTTTTGGTGGAACAAGGATCCAGAGGTGATAAGGAATACCAGCTAGCCCCCAATTTCATTGGGGAAGGCACCCTAAGAGCGCTCTTATTGTCTATATCCTGTGAGTGCACAAGATTATTGCGCATGAAATATTGTATTTTATAACAATATCACACTATGTTTTGTTTTATGTTTTCTCTGTAGATTTACACAGCCATATCCCGAATCTTCTTTGTTCTGGTTAATACTATATATGATATAGGTCGCTTGTTTTGGTAGCGACCTAGTGAGGCTGTCATACGTCTTTATAAGCTAAGTACTATTGCTTTTTATATTATTTATCTTTTGTATATTGTTTGTGATATACCTATAAGCTATGATAATATAACCTTATTACAGGCACATTGTATGACTCCATCACTCTTATCTAGACACACAAATGTGTTTTGTTGGAGGACAAATTTTTATTTAATAATATTCCTTGACCTTATCTGAACTTCTTTCTAACTGTGCTGAATAGGTGTCTGAGAGCTTTGCCGGAAGGTAAGACAATACCTCCTAGAAACATAGTCTGAATTAGCGATCACATATCTTATTAGCCTTTAAGCAAAGGGCTTAAAGTACTTGTACTTAGCTCTCCATCAACCTCTAACATTAGGCAGTGATCCTACCCTAAAGACCTGCCGTCTTCTGCATTTAACGTCTAATTACAGTTTTCCCAATGTACAGACTTGGGCCTATATGTTAAGTCTGTATTTGTAAAGCCAATTCACTAATAGTTTTTATTATTAATTTGTAGTAAATAATGATCAACCACCACTTATAGTCACATCTTCAAAGTTAAAGAGCACAGCTGTGCTTAAGCATATAGGTTTCATGCATTGGTCCGGTCAATGTAGCCTTCACATGCTCGATCCTAGAGAGGTCTCTGCAGACCAGCTGAATTTTCAACATTCTGCCTGTTTTATGAACACATGGACTTCCTCTGGGAAACTGAGAAAGTGTTTATTTGCACCCTGTGTGTTTGGTATGACACATAAAATAGACGCATAACCTTTCCTCTTCTCTGAGTGTGGAGGAAGTGTGCGCACTTTAGAGTCATAATGAGTGTAGTAGAGTTTGTTTAAAAACTGCTTGTTATTCCTAGTCTGGTCTTGTTAATTATGCTCTATTAATAGGGGAAGGTTTAACACAGATTTTACACGATATATTATCTTTTTTTTTTTTGCATTCTAGGTTTCTGCACTGCACACTGAATCGGTTTCTTCACTTTCTATTCCTTGGGTTTCTACAGTATAAATGTATTGGTTGATTAGAGTTTTTATTGGTTGCTGTCGTATCTTTGTGGATGATGTTTTTGTAGACTTGGCATGTCTTGTATTATAAATCAATTTGATCTACAGGTACAAGCAACATGACTAGTGAGCACGGTTTCACAGACTACAACACTTTGAAGCTTCTGTAAGTGAAGATGCTCCAAGCCATAATGTGTTAACACTTTTTTTCCGTGGTTGACGGCTTCCTCTAAGGGATTTTGGAGTCAAGCTGAAGAAATATGTTATTCTTCCTAAATGTCTTCGGTTGCAGTAGTTTAATGAAGTAAAAACAAAATTACTTTCGTGTTCTGCTTCAAGTGAATATTAAACTCCTGAAAGACCTTTCGTCATTGACATGACCAAGCCTTTCAATAGTCAAATAGCAGCTTTTTAAGGTGGTGATTTATGTACTGAATAAGATTTTATTGCTAATTTTATCCGAACTTATTGAGTTCCATTGACATGAATAGATAATAGTTTGTATGATAAGTGGATTATTTATTTTCTCAGAGGCTGTCCCATTATTGGACTTGGCTTATGTTTCAAAAGTGATTTGTCCATGCACTACCACTTTAGTAATTTATTTATTTATTTATAAAATATTTTACCAGGAAAGATACATTAAGATTTCTCTCGTTTTCAAGTCCTGGGTCCACAAAACATTGCGTTGATACGATAGGGTACAATAAAATGCAAACACAATATTAATACACAATAAATACAAAATATAACATAGAACAGGAAATATATAATCAACCATGACAGGTGTATTCTGTTTTGTAGGTATGTAGAGAGGGATCTCTTAAAGGACTTTAGGCTTGGGAGATTTTCACCAAAGCAATGTCCCACAAGCTGAGAAATTAGGTATGTAGCATAGCAGACAGCATAATCACTGTAACAAGCTTTTTTAAAAAGCCAGGATAGGTGACTCTGCTTTAGAACCACAAATGGATGTCATACATGACACACTACTGACATGCCAATAAGTCAATGTGTATAGTGCTTGTTTCAAAGCGGTCCTGGTCCCATGTGCATCCAGCAAGATTGCTCTGGAGACAGTGGAAGTTGAAAATATGACAAGTGCGATGGAATGGAGCAACATAAGAGAGTGTGGAGTTAAATCCTTGTATCACAGACACAAAAGAAATGTAATTGGTTAGAACAGAGCAGCCAATCCCACTGATGACACAGCCGTGGCAATATTTTTTAAACAGTCAACTGACTGAAATGCAGCTGCTAGAAACTACAAGTAACTGTAAATCTAGAGAATATTAAAGGTACACTATAGAGAAAAGCATTGGATTGGCTGAGATGACCAATTCTGATGATCTCAGCCAAGGAGGTGCGGCAGTGGCGACCAAACAGCATCTCCTTAAAGAGATGCATTGAGTAAATACATCTCTACGGAGAAAGTTCAACGTCGCCATGCTGAACGTCAGCTCTGCATGTTGTGTAGCACTGAACCAGGAAGCACTTCTAGTGGCCATCTGAGTGACTACCATTGGAGGTGTCCCTAGGAGTAAACACTGTCTTTTTTCTGAAAAGGCAGCGTTTACAGCAAAAAGCTTGCAGGGACTGACTATAGTCACCAGAACATTAAGCTGTAGTTTTTCTGGTGACTATAGTGCCCCTTTAAAATAGTGTATGCCTACACTGAGTGACCCACTGGTGGCAATAGATTTCAGATATATAAAGCACAATCACATTTTTGAATGCTCAATTCCTGTTACCATGTGTGACCTCGATAATTTTGGAATTTGGTGCTGTGCCATGTTATAATATTGCAGTGATGTATTTTGATTGTTTTTAGAACATTGTTAATGTAACAAAAAGGAATGCTTTAAAAGCATGTTATTTCAGGCTAACATTTTTTTAGTTCACATTAATAAAATGTGCAGCCAGAACATAAGTGATTCTTAATATTGGAAAATTTTGAACGTAAATATGATCATAATGTTCCCATTTGTCCATTCTATAATTTTTCACACAAGCCTCTAATTTCTTTCCTAGACAAATTCCCAGTGGCATTTTTGATGCATGGTTATCTTTTTCCCACCTAAAGCGTCACTGCTAACTAGCGTTCTAAGCGGCCTCATAAATATATATTGAATTTTAGTTTCAGACAGCCAGTTCTTATTTTCTTTCTGCTGCTGGGGGTCTAATGTAGGGGGTCGTGTGCCAAACATTTGTTAAAGAATTTTTTTTTTCTCCTGTTCAATTAATTAGTTCATAAATCAATGTCTGTTCTCAGTATAGATGACCCCAGGGATAAAATTTACTAGGTGGTGCTGAGATTTGCTGAACTGTTCCAACATTTACCTGTGTGTAAAATTAATCATTGGGAATGCTGTCCCTAAAAGGCTTTTTGGCTCTATCCTTGATTAACCCACTAACACATACAATATCTAAAACAGAACAGCAGTCTCTCCAGAAAGACAGGCAGCTGCAGTGTAAAGCATAGACTCCCTCAGTGCACCCAATAATAGCCACAGCAGACTACAAATAAATATGTGCTTTCATGCTGATATGGGGTCATTTGTCTATTAAATAAAACATTGTCTATTTCATTAACCTTTAGGTTTTACAATCAGTTGCTTGCGCAGTTATATTTAGATTCTAAAAAAATGTTGGAATACATTTTCTCACCTCAATAAAATTATTGTCAATTTTAACTTATAATAGGGTGTAATTAAAAGTGATTGTTTTGGGGAGGGCGGGGCCTGGCCGCCGAGCTGGCCGGTCGCACGGCACAACAGCTCCAGCAAATCTTGACTAATAATCTTAAAATATAGACCTGTTGAACTCACCTTGTTGACCTACCGCGGTGGGCCGACACCTATGGAGATACTGGACCTGGGGAGAGGCTTGCAGCTGATGTTTTAGTCCCCCGGAGGGGTACGCAATGCTCCTTTTGGATGAGGCTATCCTGCCCGATGATATCCTGCCTGATGCTATTCAGCCAGGCTCCTTCGGCTGGGCAGACCAGGCCCTGTCCCCTGCCCTGTACGCCCTGTGGCCCCTGCTACACCGGAGCTTTTGAGGCCCTGACAGGCTGCCAAAACACAGCCCAGACCGCATCTAAAATGGCGGCGCTGCGACCCTTCTGGCTCGCATGAGCACCTCTGGCTTCCAAGGGGATGTTACCCTCCTGAATCCCACGCAAGCACTGCATGCCTGCATGACACAACTCAGTACCCACTAACCCACAGCCTCAGTAATAGCCGGACAAGCGATACCACGACAAAAAGGCGGGAGCGGCAACCTGCTGACCAGCGAAGCACAGACCCATCGTCCCAGACCCAGTAGACGACCCCTCGGGCCTGCCCGGATGACTTGCACAGAGCAAACACCATAGCTCCATCCTGAGGAGCTGGCCTGCACCGCCTCCACAACGGCACAGTGAAACTCACCAGCCAGACCGCAGGGAGAGGGCACCAAACAGCTGGAGGAAAGCCTTCAGTACCCAAGCTACAACTTAAGGCAGTAATGACTGCACTAACCAACTCTGGACTCACTGGGTGACGCAGAACCTGCATAACATCCGTCCTTGGAGTACAAGTATCTGGCGGCCTGCCGCTGGGGTGTCGGGGTGTCGGGGTGCCCTTATAGTTTGAGCGAGTGACCTCAGGACTCTACCTGCATATTAAGTGAAATTAGCAAGGGTAACAGCTTAAGGGCATGATTTAGCAACAGTTAACCCATGAGTAAATATCACAGTACCATAGTTCACAAGCTTGTGTCACAATAGATAATTGATTACTAGCACTGTTTTCATGCTTACACGTTTGCCTCATGCTATACTATAAAATGTGCAATACATTTATAATCTTAAGCTCAATTAGTTTGTTATACGCATATCTAGCCTAGCATGTTATACCATAAAAATGATGCCTAAAAGCCTGTTATCTTCATGTGATATAAAAAACAAAATGTGCCGTTTAAACTGTCACACTTTGAAATGTTATGGAAATGCTTGTAGATGCTGTCGTGGCTCTGCACGCTTGTTGTCAATCTATGCACAAGAAAAATAAAGAATTACAAAAAAAGTGATTGTCTTGCAAATAAGTAAAAGTTTTATACAGAGAATAGTATGTTCCCATAGTTGCACCTTTTTTTGACGCTGTGATGGTAAAGGCCAGTACCAGTTTGGCAACATTTAGTTGGAAGGCATCTGGGTAGAAGTCACCATATTTAAGAACTGACACATGACTTGAGGTTTGCTACAGAAAGATATTGACTGTTTTGCTGAGAGTTACAATAATTGTAAAGTACTTTTAATAGAAAATTACTATGGAAAGAAATAGAATGTATGTAACAAAATCTAAAGGAACACAAACACCTATTTTATATGCAATCAGAATTGACACCATACATCAGTGAACATGTAACATCACATCTAACCTCTTCGGAACACTAAGAGAACGTCTTCAATGGCAACTGGCAATGTAGAACTATAAGATGTATAAAGAGTTTTATATATGTAGTTGTTGTGTGCAATGTTATGTGTGTAAGTACAGTGTTGCATGTGTTGTTCTGCTTTTTTTACACCGTGTGAATAGATGTTCAATTTACAGTTTTGGTATCACATGTATGTATCAATGCTTTAGAGTTATTTCTTTCGAGAGGTAAATTGAACCATATTGGTATGGTAAATCGGTTTGCCTGTAGGTACGTAGAAGCAATGGCTTTGATGGGTGCCATGTGATAACGTATGTGGGAACAACTGGATTCCTTTGCGAAAGGAGATTTCTAATGTGATAGCACCACCTCATCCACATTCTGATAATCACGAGTGCTGCTACAAAAGGCACTGGAGTCCTTAGTAAAGTCCTGAAAAGCCCATCTGTAATTTTCATTTCATTGTTGGCAAGAAATTCCATGTGATACTCAGAGAGAAACCATGATTTATTTGTGACAGTGTCACTTTAATGCATTATATTAAGAGTTAATTACACAGCACAGCATGGGGGTATTGCTGTGAGTGCAGGATTTTAATGTGGATGGGTTAAATACAACAGGTAAATACAGCAGGGTTTGGGGTTAATGCAGCAGGTGTGCAATTTATAAATATAGCTTCATGTAATTCAATTAAAGATTTGGTGTCACAATAAGACTTATAGAACAGATTAAGTTCTAGGGCATGGTATACAACTGGTAAGAGGAGCCTAAAATGTACCCTTCAGCAGATGCACTTGGTCTTTATGGCACTTAGCAACTGCCCTGCTGATAAGTCATACAGGGCACAGCACTGATTAAAGGATCACTCCAACCACCATGACCACTTGAGGTTTTTGTAGTGGTCATGGCGGTAGGCACCTGGGTGTGCAGTGTGTCAGTTGTTCAGCTGTCTAATGTCTGTTCTGTGCATAATTTATGTCTGTCAAAAGCAGTGTTCCCTCTGAGGTGTGCAAGCACACATATTTTTGAAGGAACGCACACAATGTAATAATTTGCACATAAAGGTTTTCTGACGTTTTATTTTTTCATTATTATTATTTTTTTATGCACAGTAAAACTGGCCAGAGGCTGTGCACTGTTGTGCTGTATTGGCTTAGGAGTGCAAGAGGGCCACCTGGAGACGGGGTATTTTATTCTCCTCTGTTACAGATCTTTTGGCATAGCATATTTCCCAACATGCCAAATGGACAAAGAGGTAAACTTTAACTTTAGGGGTGGAGGGTGGGGTGTAGCCGAGGGCGGTGCTGTTCTGAGAAACTTTAAGTGATTTACAAAAAATGTATGCAACTAAAATGTAATTTAGAACAATAACGATGTTTCTTTTTTACACAGACTGATTTCTAAACAAATTTATTATAGTTTAAAGACAAATTACTGGGAGTATTATTGTTGTTGACCTCTGGTATCATTTCATATATATATATATTTAATATAAACACGCCTAAAATCTATAATCATTACTTAGTTCATAACATTTTAAAAGATTTTATAGTAAAATTTGATGGCATGTTGCTTTTCTGCAGCCCTTGCAACTCTGTCTGGAAGGTATAAGGTTAATTAATTATTTTATTGTTAATTCAGTTGTTCACTCGCAATGAGATTGATGAAAAGGAGACACAGACTTGGTGAACTCCCGGCAGACAGAATCAATATTGGGATTAAGCACCTGGTCAAACGTAGCCATTGATTTCTGAGTTTTACAGATTGGGAGGAAATTTTGATCCATTTAGGGAAATAAATCTCATCAAGATGCTATTAATTAATAATAAGCATTGGCACAGCTTCCAGATAGTTGCTAACATCTAAAGAGAAATCATCATTCAGTGTCTGGAGTTTATTTATTTTAGATTAATAGAATCCTTCCCTACAACTCTTCGTGTGGTTTCATGTAAGAGTGAGGCCAAATTTAGGACACTTTAGTACTTGGAAGCTGCCTTTTGCACAGATCGAACAAACATATTTTAGTCTAGTAGCCTTGCTGGTCTCAGATTAGTGAGAATAGGCACCTATGGGGCTAAAAACATAAGTGCCCCCACCCAATGCCCTCACCTGTGGCCAGTGGATGGAGATATGATTAAAATACTAATCGGAACATCAAAGGGATTCCTGTAGCATCAGGGGACCTAAAGGTGTGTTTGTATGCCGATGACACAATAATTACATTGACGAATTCCTTTGCCTCTATTTTCAATCTTATGGAGGAGATAAATCATTATAGTTAAGTGTTGAATTATAAGATGAACATAGATAAATGAATTGCAATGTTTTCAAAATGTGGCTCTGAAGTTAAAGGACCACTATAGTGCCAGGATAACATACTCGTTTTCCTGGCACTATAGTGCCCTGAGGGTGCCCCCACCCTCAGGGACCCCCTCCCGCCGGGCTGGATGACGAGGAAAGGGGTTAAACTTACCTTTATTCCAGCCTCGGGCGGGGAGCTCTCCTCCTCTCCGCCTCCGATTCTCCTCTTTGGCTGAATGCGCATGCTCGGCAGGAGCTGCGCGCGCATTCAGCCGGTCTCATAGGAAAGCATTCATAATGCTTTCCTATGGATGCTGGCGTCTTCTCACTGATTTTCACAGCGAGAAGCACACAAACGCCTCTAGCGGCTGTCAATGAGACAGCCACTAGAGGCTTTAGAGGCTGGATTTACCCATTTATAAACATAGCAGTTTCTCTGAAACTGCTATGTTTATAAAAAAAAAAAAAAGGGTTAGTCCTAGAGGGACCTGGCACCCAGACCACTTCATTAAGCTGAAGTGGTCTGGGTGCCTAGAGTGGTCCTTTAAGAGACACATATTAGAAAAGTACAGCTTTAAGGAGGCTAGGGGAAGCTTTGTGTATTTAGGAGTTATACTGTCAGCCAACTTAAACATCATTGTTGAAAAGAATGTCTTAAAACTGATTAAAGTCAAAAATCTGGCATTGAAAAAATGGAACAGTACATTTTTGAGGTGGGCTGGAAAAATAAATATAATAAACGCATATATTCTTCCAAAGTGGATGTATTTTTTTAAAATGGTCCCTTTGAAGGTACCAGATAGTTGGTTAGAATTAATTCAGTGAATGTTTAGGAATTTTGTATGGAAAAGAAAAAGACCTCGCATTAATCTAGTCCAGTTGACGAGGGCCCCTAGGCAAGGCGGTATGAATTTTCCCAATATCAGAAAGCACCAAGAAGCTAGCATGATCCATCATACACAAATTTTAATGAAAAAAGAAGCAATAAATACAGGATGGTACAAACTTGAGCCTTTATCATTGACTAAGCAGCAATTAAATAAAATGTTATGGCGTGAAAAAGGAAATTTAATCCTAAAAGAAATCCAAAATAAAATAATTTGCCAAACTCTTCCGATATGGTTTAAACTGAGCAAGCAAATGAACCACAGGGGCAAGATATATGACTTCATGGAGATAGAGATTTTAGAATCCCTTATAGAAGATATAAATCTAGATCATTGGAAAGAAAAGAATATTGGAGAGATCGGAAGCATTATGACAGTAGGTTTAGTTAAATCATTCGCCTACCTATTTCAGAAACATTCAATTATATAAGGGTGAAATATTTTCTTTCTAAGAATTATGTGGAGGGTCTTTTTGTATCAAACAAATATTTGCTCCTGCAAATTCTAGAAAATTATCAAAATGTTATATGTTGTCTCGATTAATTCCATATAATATTAATATAAATGCTTTGAACAAGTGGGAAACCGAGTGTAATCTATCCATAGAAGTGGATGCTTGGGGAAAAGGTCTACAAAAATTAAAGAAAAATGTTCATAACATTGTTTTGATTGAAACTTTTTATAAAGTTACCAACAGATGGTATTTAGTATTTACTAGATTAAATAAAATAGATACTAATGTCTCAAATATATGCTGGAGATGTTTAAGTGCAGTTGGGAGTTATTTACATATCTGGTGGAACTGTCCAAAAATATAACAGATTTGGGATCAAGTGTACCATACTTTAGTTAAACTAGA